GCCGCTTCAGAATGTTAACTATCTGCAGTTTGCCAGAACCTGTCTCCCTAGCAAGTGCTCTCACCAGTCTGTATCCCCAGCCCCTCCCAGTTTTAGAGGTGGGTAGGGTAAAGTTATTGAAGTTATTTTTGAGTAACCAAGGAGTCAGAAATAACAAGCTTTTTGTCAAAACCTCTGGCTCTAGGACCTATTAACGGTCATGGTCCGTTAAATAAAATTGGCAAAACTTCAACAAGAGAGGTATTCTGTGGGCATGGAAATTTGAATGGCTTAAATTATTTTTGGCGGTGGCAACTTCACTTTGCTTTACAAAAGTTACTATGTTGAAACTGGGGCCACTGTGTCAGTTGGTGAAAGGGGTGGATGTTGAGGACAGGATTTGAAGTAACCGTAAAGCCAGCCTTGGTGGCAGGCAGAACGAGCCAGGCTTAGGAAGCTTTATTTACTTTAAACTGTTTACTTGAGCAAATTGTATTATGTGCCATAAGCCTGGAAAAATCAGGCCAGGGGACGACAGCATCCATAACCTGCTTAGTTAAATATCTCTTGGGTCCTTTTGGAAGGAGGGTCTGCCACAGCTGTGTTTTTCCTTTTTCTTAATTTTTAAAATTAATTTTCTTTCATACAATGTATTTTGATTATTTTTTTCGGTCCCCAAATTCCAAGATCCTCCTTACCCACCCTACTTAATCTTTTCTCTCTTTCTCCCCCACAGACTCCCCACCCCTAAAAATGAGAATCAATTAAACAAGTTAAAAAACAAAACAATAAGACAAAATACTCAAACAAAACATCTACCAAAATAAAACATGGAGTCCGTTTTGTGTTGGCCAACTACTCTTGGAAACAGGGCCTGCCCTGGAGTGTGGTTGATAGACTTTTTGACACTCCATTGGAGAAAACTCGTTTTCCCTTTGCTAGCAGGTATTGATTAGAAGTACCTTCTTGATTAGGGTTGAGACTTCATGTCTACCTCCCCTCCTCAGTTCAGAGATTTTTGTCTTGTTTGAACTGGCAGGTCTTGTGCATGCTGCCACAGTCTCTGTCATTCAGCTGTGCATCAGGCCTGCTGTATCGGGAAGACACTTTCCTTGGCATCGTCCATCACCTCTAGCTCTTAACATCTTTCCTCCTCCTCCTCCCCATAGATCCCTAAGTCTTGAGGAGAGGGAACTGATAAAGATATCCCAGTTACTGCCGATCGTGCTTCTAGAAATCACATGGTCTTTCTTTCCCTTCAGTGCAGCAGTGATTCCAGTAGTTGCATATTTAAAGTCAGTTTCCATAGTGACATCTGGTGGTGGCTTTGCAATCCCATCAAGCATGTTAGGAATGATAAATATTCTTAGCTAATAGTTTCATGTTTCCAGCTTTTTCTTCAGAGTGTTCAGCTTATTAACTGTTTTTAAAATGTCTTCGTTGTATTCTCAAGGTTAGAAAGTTGGGCACTTAGGACTTCTGAAATACTTCATTAAAGTCAAGGAACAATTCCCGATTATGCTACACTGCTGGGCAGTGTGTAGACCAAGCATGTCTGAACCTGTCTCCTGTGCTCAGCATGATGGTCAGAGTGAGCCCTGTGCGGGTCCCACATTCCTCATGAAATAAGAATCCTATGATTTCCTTTTTCCTTACCATTCGTATTGGATTTCCCCCACCCCTGCATCTGACTGGAGGGAATTCTCTAGAAGGCAGTGTTGCCTCTTCCTTTGACGACCTGGCTTTATCTGTCCTCTAGTTGCACACTGTTATTGCTATCTAAAAAGGTGAATGAGGGAACCGGGCATGTTGGCACGCACCTATAATCCCAGCATCTGGGACCCAGAAGTGGGAGATTCATCTCATAGCAACCATTCTGTTTTTGTTTTAAAAGCAAAGAAATGAAGGATAGAAAATTATCACTAGGAACGGGGGGGAGGGGGGAGGAAAGGCTGTTGAAGACAGAATGTAAATTCTAGGAGAATCTGTAGATAAAGATATGTGTTTAATAAAATCAGTAAAGACTGTAGATTTCCTTAGTTCTTATTTCTCCCAAGAGGAATGAGTTTGTAACTTCTCATACAAAAGAACTTGTTACAGATTATCAACAACTGAAAGTTGATTCATAGGCAAGAGAATTAAGAACAGGAGTTGAAGTTTAAGAATGAGTACAATTGTCTGATTCACACCCAGCCATGGCTTGAAGGCTTCAGTTTTCCTTTTGTTTTCCCCTGTGCTAGTCCTAGGTTTAGGAAGTACTGGTTGTAAGAATAAGGGCTCATAGTGACTGAAAGAGTACACATTATTTCTAGTCTTTCTTCTAGATGACTGGCTCATGGGATCTTTTAGAAATGAGGTCTTCTGTAAAGCACGGACTGGATCCCTGTCAACCCTTATTTGATTGAGGAAGTTCATCAGTTGTATTCTGTGCCTCTCATAGTGTGTGACTTCATGCCATAGGAAAGTGGGCATCTCGCTCCTTAATCTTAGTCATTTAAGTAGCATTTGACACAACCCTGTTTTTCTTTTATATCTGAGCAGAATCACTGCGTTTCATGTTCAACCTTTATTTATACCCAGCTATTCTCCTCCTGACCAGAACTGGGAGTTTTAAGAAAAAGATCCTCCCCACCCCCGTTGCCCAAGTGATTGGGGCAGGGAGAACCAGTTCTCAGCAGAAGGCTATACTGATGAGACTAGGGGGAAAAACATGATAACTGGTTTTCCATCATAATATGCTTGCATTTTATAGTTTCCCCTTAAAGCCATTGTATTTGAATGAATATATAATCTTCACCCGAATACTAACATTAATATATATATATTTTCCCTCAGTTGTTCTCTGTGTAGACCAGACCAGGATCCTTGCTGGCACTGAATTCATATGAATGCTGCCTTTTACTGTGGCCCTGGAAAAGTTCCTCATCTCTTGAGTTTTCCATCACAAAGTAGGGACAATAGCAGCTCTAGTGTAGGCAGGCCAGAAAAGATGAAACAGGACAATGCAGGATTGCCATGATACCTGGCATAGAGTAAACCCATAGTAAATGGCTTATATAATTGTCCTTGCTTTATGAGCTTATAATTACATTGAAAGAACTATGATTTTAAAAAGGGGGAAGATAGCAGCATGAAATATTTGATGGTTAGAAGTGAAAGGCAGGGGGGTAAGATCACCATGTGTCTGTCTGCTTGAAATTTTCTAATAATACTTCACTTGTCCAATGAATTTAATTGCATTTTAATGGAGTAGCAGCACGGGAGAGAAGCATATGCCTCTTCGTTTTGTTAATATGTAATCCGGGTGGGGGAGACAGCCCTTGTCCCTGACTTCCTTGGGTAAAGTGAAAGCTGCAATCAACAAGGGAAGATAGAAAAGATGTAATTGTGGCAGATACAAACAGTGACATTGTAGTCATTTAATTATTGAATTATTGAATTTGTATAGATTGGGTTAGAGGAAAGAACAACCATTTTAGCGTGTAATCAGTTGTTAATCATAAGTGGCTGTAAACATTCATCTTAAGGTAGTTCACTTTACGTTTGGTTATTATTCAGTATGCTGTGACTTCTGATGTCACCCTCAAAAAGCAAGCACTGAAATTTAAATAATCCCCAATGCAAGCACTTTATTAACCATAGTTGATAACCATACAGTGCCTGAAAAATTGTTGAGTAGGTATTAAATATTCTACACACACACACACACACACACACACACACACACACACACACACACCTACCTACCTACCTACCTACCTACCTACCTATAGGAGGTAATGTATAGTTGATTAGCTCAACTAAACCACTCTACAATGTATCCACATTTCAGAACATTGTGTTCCATACAGCAAAGAGTTTTTTGATAGTTTAAATTCATAAACCAGGTTAGTGGTTGAGATAAATACTGTTTTACTGCTGAACATAGATGACCTTGGTGTTTGATTTTGTAATTTGCATTGGATGGGGAACCTTAGTGATCGTGCAGCTGGAGGATTTCTGAAGTGTAGGCAGGTGCATGGTGTTGAATGCTGAAGGTGTCATTGGTTCACAGTGATCGATCATCCTAGGAGCCAAAAGGCAAGATTATGCCATTAAGTGAAAGGCCAGATTTGCTTAAGAGAGTTGATATTTCCACTTTTAATCACTTTGTTGGGGGAGGATTCTGAAACTAAAGTTTTAATAGATTTCCATGACAGAGCCAAAATAGCACCAATCTTCTGGCCCCGCTCAGCAGTGGTACACTTTCTCTCTTACTAGTCCTCTCTATAAAAACTGTTTTCTAGTTGGGGTCTCAATAGTAGACTCTATATCCTAAGGACAGCCAAGATACTGGAACAGTTTACTCTTTGAGTAGTGACTGTGCTTCGTATGAGAAGCCAGAAATATGAGTAGCCAGGGACCATACATGCCTCTTAGTTTAGAATGTAACAAGGAGAATTTATGTTTTTTATAACATACTGGTTTACTTAAGATGGTTAAAAATATAAGAAGTTTAGTGTGGAAGAGATCTGAACAATCTCTTGCAAAAATTTCCAAATTTCTTTTCTTAGCAGTTTTTAAAGGTTTGGGTAGTCTAACTCTGAGGAACGTTACCCCTGGTCTCTGTCCTGGGCTGTGGCTTAAAGAATGGAATTGAGCCCTGACTCTGGTTTGTCTTTGGTTTCCTGCTTAATCTCCATGAAAGCCAACACATTTCAACCAGCTGTAAATTTTATCTTTGGAACACAGGGTAATTATTAGACCGTGAGATGATCTCTTTGTGCCTATTTCAGATTCAAATCATACATTTTTAAAGTGGTCTGCTTGACACTGATAATTGTAAATATTTCTTATAGTCTGTATTATATGCTATACATTTGACCATTACATAGGTATTAACTCATCTAATCAATCTCCATTCTGTAGGAAGGGAAACTGAGGCAGGGGGGTTAGGAAGCTTGCTGAAGTTCATGCATCTAGTAAGTGGTGACTTGTGCGTGTCGTTAACTTTTTTGTTTTGTTCACTTCTTTCTCTCTAGGTGTTATAGAGACTTCAGATCGACTGGACAGGGAATCGACTTCCCATTACTGGCTCACAGTCTATGCCACGGATCAGGGTGTGGTACCCCTGTCATCCTTCATAGAGGTCTACATAGAGGTGGAGGATGTCAATGATAACGCACCACAGACATCAGAGCCTGTGTACTATCCAGAAATAATAGAAAATTCACCCAAGGATGTATCTGTGGTCCAGATTGAGGCATTTGACCCGGATTCTAGCTCCAGTGACAAGCTGACATACAAAATTACAAGTGGAAATCCACAAGGATTTTTCTCGATACATCCCAAAACAGGTACGCCAGTACTTTTAAATGGACTGTGTATGTATGAGTATACTCTCCCAGGTGCAAACTCAAGAGTTAGCATTTCTTTGTTGCTGAGCTTTATTGGATTTGGCACTCCCCTTACTTTTTTGGTTGTTCAGAATAAGCCTTTATTTTTGGATGAAATTTAATCCAAACATGTGCTTACCTCTTTGGGCTTTCCTACCACATAGCTTAGCAGTTCTCAGCCTATTTGTTACAACCCCCAAAAGACCATTGGAAAACACAGATATTTATATTACAATTCATAACAGTAGCGAAATTACAGTAGTAATGAAAATAATTTTATGGTTGAGGGTCACCACAACACGAGGAATTAACTGCATTAAAGGGTCGCAGCATTAGGAAGTTTGAGAACCACAGATCTAGCTGGTTTATGATTTTGCTCCACAGTAAAAGCTTTGCACTCTGGGTCTAAAGCAGTTTTCATTATTTCAATAGTAGTTCAATGATGACATAATAAACCCAGAGCAAATTTTGCTGTTATATATCTGAATTTTTGTAATGGTCCTTTATTTGGGAACAATATTAGATTTTATTTCACAATTCATTGCTTTGTAAGACTGTTTTAAGTTCTTCCCAGTGCTCTGACTGTAGGTAACAGAATTAGGGCTAAGTCACTATAGGGTTGGAAGCCATCACTTTCATGAACCAACACCCCATCCATTTCCTTTCTTCTCCTCTCTGAGTCTGGGACCTCACAGGGACTGAAGAGACAGATAGCTCATTGGTTCAAGAGCGTGTGCTCCTCTTGCAGAAGACCCAAGTTCAGTTTCTGGCACCCACTTTTGGTGGCTCCCAACCTTCTGCAAACTTTGGCTCCAGGTTGTCTAATGCCTCTGGCCTCTGGCACCTGCACTAAGGCACAAACTCAATAGGCACAAACTCATACACAGATAAACACACATATGCTCATAATGAAAACAACAACAACAAAAAAATCCACAAGTGTGTGTGACCTTCTGCTTCTTAGAAGGTTGACTTCATGACCAGCAGTCTTCCTCGATCCTGAGAGCCCACAATCTCTGATGTTCCACACTGGATACTGTGTTTTATTCTTTTCTTGGTTCTTAGGCCTCAATATTTTCCACACTAAAAAGAGATGATCAATGCAGTTACCATTTGCATTTGCATAGTGGGCAACTTGGCTCTGTTTGAGCTATGAAAACTTTACATGTTGAGTGCAGAACAATTTTATTTTATTATTAATCAGTTAAAACAACAGCTACTGTATGACATTGAAATGATAGTTTCCTTGTAGGATGATGAAATGGCTTAGCCTATCAACTACTGGCCTTAAAACTAGTGTGTGTTTTTTCCATCTTTGCTGGTAGAATCTGATGAACCTGGCATCATAGAGCATATGTAGCTATCCTGATACTGCTGTCTTACCTTTGAGTGTCAGAAGTTAAATCAAATGAAAGGTATCTGGAAACTAAGAGTCAGAAACTTAGAACACACTGCCAGCTATAAAAGAAGAAATGCGTAAGCTTAAAATAATTTCAGAGGAAAGTTTAAGAGTCCCCAGTGTGTGCCCAAACCAAAGGGGGTAGTCCCAGTATCAAAAGAGAGAAAAGTCTAAAGGAGACAAACCTTGATAAGATAACTTAAGAATTCAACTAATTCTGCTTAAAACTGTTTAATGAACTAGATTTCTAAAGTGTTTCAATCTTACACCTCAGTCCCTCTTTTAGATTAGAGTAAGTCCTCCTTGAAGAGATAGGAAAGCAAGTGATAAATGTCCTTCCATTATCTGAGCAAATACAGCAGGTCTAGGCCTAACTAATAGGAGAAAGAAAGTTTAAAATGGTCTAGATTAGGGCTTAGGAATAATGATGCCAGTGTTGGGTCCCCTGGAATGAGCCTGCATCCAGCCTTGCCTTACCTTCTGGGTCTCTCCTTTGTGGCTCTTAGGAAAGGATGTCTGCATACTCTGGCACTCTTTCTAATCTTCTGTGTGAATACACACCCTCTAGGAGTTCAGTGTGAGCTTTCACCCCTGGGTGTGAAGCACGGGTATCCTGATGGTAAGATAGTAGGAGAAAATGCACCAGTCTCCAAACAGGTTGCTTTTAAAGCTTGAAGGCAGATAGGAGTAGGGTGAGGGTAAGTATAGTGTATAGCTCTATTGCTGAGAAGCATGTTACAAACTATGTTTAGGAAAGAGAGTTGCACAAGCCACCGTGTCTTTAAAGATCCAAAAATAGCCCTGGTTTAGCAAGCATATTGTTAAGAAAATATAATAAGTACGGTATCATGAGCTATGTCTCCAAGTGGTTCTGTTCTCCCAACTCAGCAGAAAATGTAAGCGTGTGCCTCATGGCCCAAGTGATACTAACAGGAACCTCATTCCCTGAGACCCTTTAACAGACTGCCAGTTGTAAGAGGTGGTTTGTTAAAATTCTGGTTGGATTGTGGGAGCCGGTGAAAGAGGATCTGAAAGAAGAAAGTTCTTGTGATTTACTGACCTGGAACACCACCTGGAGACCTTAAATCAGGATCCTTAGTAATTAACGACTGAAGGAGAAAATCACTGAGCTGGCACTCTGAGAGGTGGCCATAGTTAGGCTTTCCTCCTAGGACCGGGGAGGAAACAGACATTAGGGGGTGGCTTTAGGATTAGCCATGAGTGATCTACATCGTTAATAAGGCTAGTCCTTTGTGGAAAATGTGCTGCAGCCTGTTTCTCTTGCATGTTTCAATTGCGTGTTTAATGTATATGACATCCAAGGTTTCAGTGGATTAATAGAGTTGTGCATTTTCTTTGGATAAACAAATGTAGGGTGAAGTGCACATTTGCTTCCTTGGAGACCACTGAAAACCTTCCAAAGTATCTGTCTGAACATGAAATGTTTTCTGTCTCTGCACTGGGAGTGTGGCTCCTCGAGGGGTTGCTTTACAAGTATGTCATTTGGAGGTGTGAAGGAGCCCAGGGAAGGGTGTGTGTGAGAGGCAGTGTGACACAGCCTGTAATGAAGGTGTGTGCAGCAACTGGGGACAGACTGATGTTGAGGGGACATTCAGGAAATAGCCTCTGGAAGTGATTTTGAAGGTGGGGAAGCAGATGGAGTAGTTAGTATCTTAAGAGATGCAGTTAGGTGAATGGCTGGCAGCCTGGACACTGGAATGCTTGAGTAAGGACTAAAGATAGTGTTTGTGTTGCCTTCATGAATACAGACTTATTTTCCCAGAGCCTGTATCAAGTGCTTAGGACATTTTGTAGACATTTAAATGACATCCTATAGTCATTCTGTAAATGATGGGAATATCCCAGTTTTTTTTTTTTTTTTTGACTTTTTTTTTTTTTAAATAAGCTTTCTGGAACTAGAGTTCTATAATTTATTCGAATTTTGGTCTCCAAGTGGCAAGCTTGAATGAGCTTTTTCTTTTAGTATCTTCCAGTGTTTAATTATGGCGCTGAGGCTGTCTTTCTACATCTGAGACATGTGTTAGTATACTAATTATAAGTAGGCGCTGATGAGATTTCTCATTTAGGGCACAGGGGCAAAAGGCTTAATTCATTTTCCTTCCCTAACACAGACACTTTTGTTAACAGCGGAGATTTCAGTAACTTTTTGTTTGGATGTATCAAATATCAGTTAGGGTCAGCCTGCTTCTTTTAACATAAATTGTGCCTCTGCTCAAGGCAGGAGAGAGACAGGAGCATAGATATTTTATTGTTCGGAGCCTTGACACTGCCTGCTCACGCAAGCAAAGCATCATAGCTCTGTGGTATGCCAAGGACAGAGGAGGAACCCCAGACAAAAGAGACCAGTGTGAGCTTTTACATGCTTCCTTATCCTCCAGTAACCCCCAGAGCCCGACTCCACCTGTGTGCACGGTGTCACGTGATCAGTGGTGAGGAGTGACACACAGTTTACAGATAAGTTTGAAGGTTACTCTTGAGGCATGAGCCCACTTCAGGAACGACCAAAGTCTTCGTCTCAGTGTATTTGTTATCTTCCAGGTTTTTGATACAAAAGTAAAGTCTTTTTTACTTTTAAGAAGCTCCCTTGAGATACAGTTAACATGCAATAAATGGCACATACTGAAAAAGTGCAGTTCAGTAAGTCTTGACATTTGTCTGTACCCGGGAAGCGGTCACCTTGTCAGCAGTGGGCATATCCTTCGCTACAAAGGATTTCCTCTTGGTTTTCTGTAGTCCCTGTCACTCCCACTGCCCTTGTCCCTAGATGACTTCTGATCTGCTCCGCTCATTATATTAATCATATATAATACATTTGCCATTAGGATTTCACATAGATGAGCTGACATGGTGTGTATTTTTTGGGGGAGAAGGGTTCCACATAGCACATTTGTTTGAGAGCCATGCATGATGCAGCTCTGAAGGAGCCTTAAGTCCTTCTTTGTATCCTTGTGCGGATACAGTTTGTTCATCCAGTAATTGATGGGCATTTGGCTGTTACCATGTTTGGTTGTAGGTAATAATGCCACCATTAACATGGATAAAACTCTTCAGGAGATCATATAGTTCCATTATCTCCTGGACTTTAGGCAAGAATGAGTGTTCTGAAAACCATGAAGAATGAAAGCTGATCAAGACTTTTTTTTTGGGGGGGGGTCAGACAGTTAATGCCTTGTAAACTGTTACTTCATCTATTTTGTTGGTTTTTGTTATCTTTACAGTATAACTCTGACCCCTTGATACAGATATGAAAACTCAGTTACTGCTTTTTTTTAATCTTAAAAATCCTCATTCAGTTTTAGATATGCAATAAATATGAATATACTCCTCTCCCAAAAAGCTTCATTGAAGGAGTAGTAGAGATAATTGCAACCAAGGTTGTGTGTGTGTGTGTTTAGAAAATCAAAAGCAAACTTGCCGATTTATTTTATTTTATTTTATTTTATTTTTTGGTTTTTTTCGAGACAGGGTTTCTCTGTGGCTTTGGAGCCTATCCTGGCACTTGCTCTGGAGACCAGGCTGGCCTCGAACCCACAGAGATCTG